CAAATAAATCGGCGGTGGTGTCTTCGTTGTAATCCAGCGAAGAATCTTTAATATTTTTCGCAGACATAGAAAGTCCATTTGGAATCCAACCATCTTTAGAGCCAGGATGCAAAATAGTTATTCTTTTACCTCTTTTTGATGACGCGTTTGTTTTGCACTTATCAGTTGAGTCAACTCAACCCTTTTCCGGGGTATCATAAGTGTCCAACCAGGTTTCATCCAAGTAAATAATTGGCCTTTGTTGTTCTCTGTAAATCCTATTTTTTTCTAGATATTCCAGTCGCCATTTCCGAATTCTGAAAGATTCAACTAAAACTTACCTTTTGTCAATTCTTTTAAACCTAAAACCCATGTATTGAATACAATTCCTTAAGGTAGTTCTGCCACATTTAACACCGGTTTCATCTTTTTCAAGCCTCCTAATTAAGATATCTAATGTACGCTTTGTTCCTCGTACTCCTCGTATTATATCTTGATCACTTTCATCTACACTCGAGAAAATGTCTGCATCGCTTCTTTCTTTCCTCTCTGAAATGGGATTATTCACAATTTTTTTTCTTCTAAAGATGCTTGCTTGATGGCACCACATTCAATGAGAGTCAAATAAACATTGTTTATAACTTCCTTAGTCTCAATAGAATAGTGTTTTCTACATTTGGGCGGGAGCATCTCCTGAGATACACTAGACTCACACATATTTTGCATAATTTGCACACGATTCAACACACGCTGTATTTCACAGGAATGATTACTAATAAACTTAAACTAAGTAGTATATCAAACCAAAGAATATTAAAGGCAGATAGGTATAAAATTATTTTCTATTACGGGCCACAATTTTACCTGAATTTAAATTCCGAAACTTTAGGTAATAATCTTGTGGCATTGTATGTTAATGACCACTCTTGGATAATCCCATTCAAAAGCAATTGGTCACTTTCTTATATATACGAACAGACCATACCAGTACACTTTCAGTACTTTTGGATTTGTACACTGAGATATAAGGAACAGGGTGGGGATAAAAAAAGAGGGGAAAATTACTATTCTTGTTCAAACTATACGACGAAAATGCAACAACATAAAGTTTATTAAAATGTTATTTGTCTTCATTTTTCATTCAAATCAGTCAGTTGTGTTTTACTTTTTATTGGTGATTAATATTTTTACATTTTGCCTTTTGCGTTGGCCTCAGTAAAAAAAAGATTTTAAAAAATAGGAGTTTGATTTAAATCATGATGACCCTGATGACAAGTTATGTGGACGCTGCATAAGATTTTTCAAAACGCACTCACTGCTATCAGCCCACACGTGATCGACATCTACTCGACTCGCTTTTGTTTTGTCGGAATTACCTTTTGGCGGAGGCTCTGTCCAAAGCCACGTTCCGGTTCTTAAACCACGAAGACCAAATTCGACTATCAATCGTGAATCGGCGCGTCAGACAAAAGGCTTCTTCTCCATTCGTCGGCCGCTGTCATACGGCGGCAGCCGGCCAGACAAATGCCACCCGTAAAATTTCGGCTTGGCGACTTTATACTGGCGCCACGGCTATCTGCGATGCGAGCGCCGGCGACGTCCTCTTTGGTAATTAGGGTGCCGCGCGGGGCATGGGCGGGAGAAGGGGAGACGAGACACCGCGAGACCCACGGCGCGAGTCGAGTATGACCCGAAATTAGGTAAAACAATGCGTCTACGGGGAGGGAACGTGGCGCCGCCGAAGAAAAAAAAAGGAAGCGGACAAACGAACGCCGCTGCCTGCATCTGGCGCAGGAGAGATGATGACACGGTCGAGTATACTTCCACCAGAAATATAGTGCTTTTACAACCGAGCTTTTGATTAACTTTGCCTACTGTTTATTACTCCAAAACCGCAGCCCCTTATAGAGCACTCTACCGAGCAGACCCTTACCCGTAACCATTCCAGGGCCGTGTTAGGAATTTATCTACCTACACTAACAAGCGGGATATAAGTATGTTTTCAATTCTTTTCTATGATCGTTCAGTAATCATTCTCGATAAATATTTCCTTCTTTTATTACTCGTTTTTCACAGTTAGACCAGCTTTATACTGATATTTTAGTTACCTCTTGTCGAATTACGTTTATGGTACCATCACTCAATTTTGGTGCGGTGTTACTTCTTATATGCGCCTTTAACTCAGACCAAATCATCTCAATCGGGTGAAATTTACAATACGGGGGTAATCTCGAGATTTCATGTGCGCTTTGTAGTGCTATCGAATCGATTTTGTGGTCTTTATTAAAATGTTTCATTTTTAATAATTCCGGAAGCCGTTTTTTCAATAAATAAATCATTTTCGTACAGAAATTCTTTAATTTCTTCTTTATTTAGTATTTGGAAAAGTACGCAACGACTTTGGAGTTCTTCTAGGGTTAAAACGCTATTTCCTTTATAAGCGTCGTAGATTATATGCCTAATTAGATCTGCGTGTTGCTCTTTGAAAAGTCTCGAAGCAAGAGCATCGTCTCTCACTTTCCTCTTGACTATCATTTGCAAGAATTAACTTCGGAATTTTGCTGCTCCTCCTTTTGAATTTCTTATAAAATTGTAAACATTCAAAACAATTTGTTCGGCATCCGAAGACAAATGGATCCGTTTTTTTATTTGCGGAGGTAGTTAGTCTTCTAAATTGTCTTGAAATTCTACGTCGTTTTCCATGTCTTCTAACAGGGGAACGTCTGCTTCATTCCACGGTCTCCTCCACATTTTAAAGTGTTAAAAAAACAGGAACCTTCAAAAAAAAATTTCAAGTTTCTACAAATATTCGTTACGGTCCATCTCAGGCAATAAACATCTGTTGGAATGGGTTTTACCACTGTCCGGAGAAGATCTGAGGTTAAGGTACTGTCAAAGCAATAAGTGCACTATATTTTTGGTCATATTATACTACCAGGCACCCGGTTTCTCGGAAGTTGCGGCGACGACGACGACCAACAACTCCTCGGTTCGGCGGATTTAATTCCGAAATACCCGTCCAGATTCCGATGCCGTAGCTATCTCTGCGTCTCTCTCTCTCTCCGTGGGTAATTTATAGAACTAATGCATTACCCAAGCAACCCATCAGCTCGAGCGAAGCGGCAGCACGCTCGGCGTACGAAGAGTTATGACTTCGAAACCCGGTTTTCCACGACCATGGTCGGTCTATACATCTCGATTAAAACTAATACCCCGGAAAAAAAACCGGAGCCGTAAATCCCCCCCCCTCCCGAATCGGCAATTTTCAGAGCCATTATGTCCACGACATCAATAAAATCACGTGATGGAAATGGTGGAAAAGCCAGGCATTCCTACTGGTTCAGCGATATCAGGAGTAGTGTTCTTGTGCGTTTAGAATGCCTCCTGTGGATGTAACATTATTTCCACAGGAAGCAGCTTAAACCAATATCAGTGCAGAAGGCTTGTGATGTAACTTACAAAGGGTGATACAGATTTCCATAGTTAGAAGGGCGAATTAATTAATATGCCTTTGGCTGAAGGCTTTTCCTAGAACAACGCAATTCATAAAATTTATAAGACATTTATAAGGCCTGATTCGGAGTATGTGCAACAATGTGTGGAATGCAATAAGGGTTTCCGTTTGTAAATCTAATTTCTTGTGGATAGTGTTGAACTAGGCGTTAATGGTATTATACATCAACGTGTTTGCTGTGGAAAGGTCCAATTATGCTGAATAAAATGCAGAGTAGAAGACTTATCGGATTTTCTAATTGATAGAGAGAGATTTTTTCAAAAAGTCGTTAACGTCACGATTGATTAAACTGAGTTATCTAATCTGGCACATCCAGAACGACTGAGTCACCACTCTCACGCTACTAGCTATCGCCGTCGAGTTTCACAGATAACCGTTTAAACTGCTCAAAACCATCGGCAAATTTCAGGATGTCGAGGTCTACCGCCCGGTTAAGTAAGTTGTCAAGCTGGAAACTGTTCGAACTATTTCGACCCTAATTTTGCTTCCAAGCAGGTTTTGGTTGGGTAGTAAGACTTCACGTTTCTCTTTTCCCGTATCGTCTGAAGCCAGTTTTCTATCCGCAGTACACACTCAAAAAGTGTTTGTCATTCCGAAACCATTCAGGCGAAGCGAGGTTCAAGTCAAAAATGCAGCAGCCTCTTCCGATTCTGTTTCTTAGTTAGATCCAGAACAGTCATTCGGATTCGGCTGTAAGCAGACTTCATTGCAGCGGATTTTCATGCGTGTTTTAGTGAAAAAGTTGTCCTTTACTACAAATACCTTAGTCTTAACGTTCGTCTATGTATCTCTACAGTTTTGAAGCAACAAAAGTAAAGTCTTAAGTTGAATCTACGGGTTGGATGTAGTTTTTGGTATAAGTGACGAAGAAGCCGAGTTTAAAATATTATTTTTGAATTTCTTAAGGGAAAAATCGATAGAATAACGTCGAAAAATAAAATAAAATAGCGCACCCAGTGCCAAGAACGACGAGACGTTTGGAAGGTGATCGGCGGAGCCGGCGGGACGCAGAATGTGTATAATTATTATACAACCAGACGGTGTCGACCGAATCGAAGGCGCCCAGACTTGTAAACATTTATCGTTTTTAGGCGCCACTTTATTTTCGTTATATGTACTTAACTCTATATGCGTATCTAATTTTGTGTACACGAGCCGCCGTGGTATAGGCACAACAACGCTTTTACGACGCTTCCTATACTGCGGGCTTTAATTTTCGTACGGCGTTTTTTTATTATCCGCGGGATTCGAATCGGGGCCGTACGGTGGCCCGAGCCAGAGCGATTTCCTAACGCGACAAAAAAAAACGATAAAATCCGAGAGGTCGCTTTAAAAGGTTTTCTAAATTTATCGAATCTTATCTGCGTCATATATACACGAGATACCTCTTAAGTGACTTGCGAATCTCCGAGCAACGAAACAAAAAAAACCCCGCGAGTCTCTATCTCTCTCTTTCTCTGTTCACCTTCCCGTAGTGAATTAATTTCGTTTTCCTTTTTTTTTGCAGACACGCCTCCGCCGGCCTACAGCAGAACCAACGTCGATAGGATACGACCTGAAGGTGAGTAGCGTTGCTGGTGTATACGCGGTTTACTTTAAGCAAGGGGTGCAGCAGGGTACCGTCTCTGGGCCGCCGCCGTCGCCGTTTGTTTTAAACGATTCGTATTCGACCCGACACGTTCGCCGCGGACAGGAATTCTAAGCATTTTTGCTCTTGTGCGTGCGTATACATAAATGTAATCCTATATAGTAGTCGTTCGGTTCGACCTTGCTCAAGCCAAGGTTGCTACGGTGAGAATACACACACGGGGTTGCCAGATTTGACCGGGTTGCGGGAAATCTCGCGTAATATTACTGTCAACGAATTCCACAGAAAATTCGAAGAGGGTATGGTCTGTTCATAGATATAAGAAAGTGACCTACTGCTTTTGAATCGGATTATACAAGGGTGGTCATTAACATACAATGCAACAAGATTATTACCTAAAGTTTCGGAAATGTTTATTTGACTCTTATTGAATGTGGTGCCACCAAGCAAGCATCTTTAGAAGAAACGGACACATTAACGAAATTTCCAACATCAACTGTATGGAAAATTAATTTATAAGTTGGTTTAAAAGCAAACCAGTTCCAAACATTCCTCCTAATAGCGTCATTGTAATGGACAATGCAAGTTATCACAGTAGATAGTTGACTAAAACCCCTTCCTCATGTGACACAAAAGCAACAATCCAAAACTACATGTATAATAACGACATTTATTTTCACGAATATTATACCAAAAAGCAATTAATTGAGGTTCTACAAAGATTGAACCTACAAAAGGAATACGTCTGTGAGAATTATGCAAAAAATCTAGGGCATACAGTTTAAGGCTTGCACCTGTATATTTAATCCCATTGAACATGTTTGGCACCAATTAAAATCTGCCATTCGTCATAACAATGTTTTTTCCCCGTGTTAACTCCAATGTCCTCAAACTTATAGAAACCGAAGTTTTTAATATCCCTCCACAAAGTTTGGCAAATTCTGTTAAACATGTAGAAAAAGCAGCATATTGCAAATAATATAGAACAAATAATAATTAGAACAGGCGATGATAGCGATAGTGATACTGATGTATTATGTGAATAATTTTAAATAATTTAAGTAGGTAATAAAAATCATTTGTAATTTTATTTTAGATATAAACATAAATACATGCATAAATAAATAAATATTGTTTAGTATCTTTCCTAACAAAACCCGAAATAATTAAATTCTAAGCAAAGTACGGACCTGTTCGGCCATATTTCATTCTTACAGCTTGCTCTGGTCTTTCCTTAATTCGTATCAGTTATTCATTGTCTTATATCTATGAACAGACTTTATAAGAGAAAAATAATCTTACTATTCCTATAAACATCCAACGGAACCTTTGAAACCATAGTTTTCATACTGTGCTTTTTCATTCATTAAATAAATTATCATATTAGACCCAATAAGCGAGTTTTTTTAATTATTATCGACAGTAACTTTGCAGTATTCAGTCTTCAGAATTGCTTCGACCTCACTTTTTTTCTGGATTAACCAATACTCGATCGTTAATTAATAAGTATATTTTCGCCTCATAAAAATACGATCTCGGCAGGTGTAGGTGTAGAGAAGTTAGTAATATATTGGTGTCAGTCACTAAGAAATATTCAGCGGGTTCGGACTGCGTTCCCTGCGCGGTGTTAAGGCTTGTGGTCGACTCTATTGTAGAACCGATGACATATCTCGTTAATTAATCCTTTTTGCATGGATCGTTTCCCAGCATTCTAAAAAATGCGGTAATCACGGCACTCCGTAAAAAGAAAAACGGTGCAACAATTATTCCAAATTTTATATATATTATAAATATTCGTTTTTTCAAAAATCTTGAAAAAAACACTGCATTCAAGACTTTCAAATTTTTTGGAAAGTCGATACCTTTTTTCCGGTATGCAATTTGGTTTTCGAAAAAAACGATCAACGCAGGATGCCATTCTCTCTTTATATAAGCATATTCCTGCCAAGTTAGAAGAAAGGCAGCAGACAGCATTTATTTTGTTCGATCTACATTTGACCCGGTAGATGTTGATATTTTAGTGGACAAGCTTTGTTCGTGTGGTATTAGAGCTCTCGAGAAACTCAAATATTCACAATTTAAGACACATAAAATTTATAATAAATTGCCTGTCGAACTGAACGAGATGGCTAGTCAAAAAAAAATTCAAATGCACTGTGATACCTTTTAATACGTATCCGTTGTTTGTTATTGTTTATTTATTTGTAATTTATCTAACGTTATTAATTGTCATTATTAATTAATTAATTATACTAATAAAATTTTATATTTTTATATTCGTATTATACTGACAATATCCAACACTTGTAACTCAAGTCTTATCTTTATCTTTAATAACGTTATATTTGTTTTCTGATTCTCTACACTCATGTATATTTTTATCATCACGATTATCATCTATTTTTTTTTAAGATTGCAACAGCATACGTCGTTTTCTTGTTTTCTTCTGCAATAACGCTCATTTAACCCATTGCTTTGTTTCATTCGTTTAATGTAACTACATTCAATTGAACCAGCAATATTATTTCCATCCATTTATTTTTCCTTCCATAATGTTCATGATCAAAATATTCAAGTTTTTTTCTATTAACCCATCATCAATATCACCCTTTGGTATCTAGAAACGGAACTGTATCACCAACAGTTTCTATTGACCTATGCCTAGATGTAAACGTCAAATAACTTCCCAAATCAAAGGCAAGTGAGGAGTCTGGGTAGTCATTGAGGAATGATCTTCAGCTCCTTCAGTTTCGTCTGCAATATGAGGAGTTTGCATCCGTCATATGTGGCAACCGCGCCGGAATCCATCGGATCGCTACTGAGAAAAGCGTCCTGTTTCTGCGGTTTGTTTTTCTTAATACGTAATTACTATCGCGTTCCCGAAAAGCCCGCTCTCGACTTGGCGTTATTTGCCGAGCAAACAACTCCGAAGCGATCTTGTTTGCAAGTACTTCAAGACTATAGGAGGTTGTTTTCTTAAAAAAAAAAATCCTTCGCTCGCTGAAGAGGCTTCCAGTACGAGCTAGTACCGGCAGTTGCCCAGCTGTCCACATATAGTCCACTTATTCCGTGGTAAAATCAATATTACGCTTTAGCGACGACAAAGTAAAGTCGTTTCGGCGGCGGGACGCGACCTTCCAGTCTAAATCGCCCTCGTCGCCAGTCCGCTCTTTCCACAAAAATTACGGAACGGTGAAAGGCGTCTCACCGCGTCGACGCCGTTTATTTTTAGACGGCGACGGGCGCCATGGAACGCGACGGGCTGCGGCCACCGTACGCGCCAGATCTATGCCCATGTAAAGGATAGGCGAGATGCGCCGGCCTTGCGCGGCAATTGCGGCAACGGCGCGCGGAGGCGGGCGTTTTTCTTTACCGCGACGTTGCCGAATTGCCGGTCACTTTTAAGTCGCCTGAGCCTGCATTTGGTGCTGGAGTGCTTATGTTACACTGGCATTTTACACCCATAGTATTTAACGTTTACATTCAAAGTCATGCAATTGTAAAGTGATGTCTTCGTCATTTTAGGTAACACACTTTTTTGTGTCGTTATGTAAATAACTTTTTATAAACTTTCTTATACTTTCTTTTTTTTTTTTGGAAAATTACGGCGCACTGGCGCTGAGTACATTTTTACATTGCAATGTGGGCGAATTTAAATGAAATGCCTTTCAAAACGAAGAGCTTGTAAATTTTACACAGGGTGCATTTTACATACACGTGATGTTTTGGACATATTACCTAACACACTTTTGGGTGCAGTTATGTAAATAAAATTTCTTGCAAAAGGTAAAAGTTTTGTGTAAATTTTGTCGCAGTTTTTAGAAAACTACTGAGTATTGCAGGCGATTGCATTTTTAAATTGCAATGTGCGAAAATGTTTTCCAAAACTAAGGGTTTTATAAATTTTATACAGGGTGCAATTATTTAACGGTTACACTAAAATTTATGCAATTGTAGTGTAATGTTTTCGTCATTTCACATAACACACTTTTAGGTGCAGTTATGTAAATTAAAAGTCTTACAAGACGTAAAAGTTTTTGTGCAAATTTTCCCGCGGTTTTTAGAAAATTCCTGAGCACTGGCGCCGATTGCATTTTTTCATTCCAATTTAAATGAAACGTCTTTCGAAACAAAGGGCTTTACACTGGGTTCATTTTATATCCACCTTATTTAACGTTTTATGTTAAGTGCAGTTATGTGAAAGAAGTTTTTTTGTAAACTATTCCGCAGTTTTTTTCTTAGACAATTACTGAGCACTGCCGCTCAATACGTATTTAAATACGATGTGCGCTTATGTAATTCTTTCTTGCCAAACATGTAAAATAATTAGCACAGTTGCAGAAACGGACGGTAAACCATCGGCCAATTACCTGCGCCATTTTTTTTTCACAACGTGTCATTTTCGTTTGAAAATAAATACGGTCTCGTTGTCAAAACTTTTATAAAAACGTCCAGGGACGGTACGGCTGGGGCTTTTCTCTGGATCTTTTTGAATAATCGAAGTTTGTGGACGCTGTCAACTTTTACATTTTACTCGTGCGCAATTTCTAACGTAATTAATTAATTCCGGCGATCTGAAAAAAAAAAAGAATATGATTGGCCAGAACCAAACAATACGAAAGCTCCTCATTCGTTAATCTTCACATTATCCTACATTATTATTACCGCGCTTGCGCCCTGAGTGTTTGTGCCGGTGCATTCTGTTAACCGAGATTGACACTACGAAAAATTGGTATTTCTCGAGCAGATAACATTGTTCTCGTTATCGGTACGTTAGACGTAAATACCCAAAGGACTGAGGGGCTTTGCAGTGCAACAAAATTGCTCCACCAACCTACCGTTGCTATTTTTTATTTAAAATTACTGCTTTTAACCGTTCCATCTACAAAATACGGGGGTGAATCACATATAAATGAGATGTTTTCTTCTAACTTATCGACGAGGATCCACAGCATCAGTATCCTTCTGAGCCG